TTGACAGCCCTGCCCCGGCCCCCGGCGGGGCCGCTTAGCTTTTCCGGCGTCCCCCCGCGGCTTTGTTGGGGGGCTTCGCTTCGGTTCTACTTTCGAGCGGCACATCGGGAAGCCCCGCGGCGGGAGCTGCCTCAGTCCCTGCGCATCTTCCCTTGTCTTTCCTTTGCCGCTATTGCAAAGCACGTCCCCTTTCACTCTCCTTTGGCACCTGACGAGTTCCCTTCACCCTCTTCTTCCACAGTGCTCGTATCAGTTCCTGGCGTTCGTCCCACCGAGCAACGGGAGCCTGAGAAAACCGGGCACAGCAGCGGTAATGGTCGATACCCAGCATCCGCTCACCCTGCTGCTCAACAGCTCTGTGGGTGACAGAGAGTTCTGCAAGTACGTGGCCCAGCCCCAGGGAATACCTGGATAGCTCTATCCTTTTTTTCTTTTTTTTTTTTCTTGAAGCCGTGCGCTTATTTATTGCCTGCTCATCACCTCCTTTTTCCTGACTGTTTAGACCTAGAGTTCAGACTTCCCCCCACTGCTGTAACTGTGGCGGACATTGTAATTGTGCTGAAAGGATCTAGGCACAAGCAGGAGCTGAAATGTTATGCGTTGAGCCAGCATGTGCAAATGCCTGGTTTCTCTTGCAGAGAGGCTGTAGTTCAAGAAGACAGGTGAAGTAGGAGGCAGTGCATGTGTGGTAAAGCATCAGTGTCGGGCTAGGGGAGGGTAATGCTTGGCAAAGGCAGAGCCAGGCAGCTCCTTGCTAGATCACACTGTTAGGCCAGGTTTTCAGCTTGCCTTTCCTACAAGCATTCAGGCTTACAGCCCCCAAAATGCTGCTGTGGTACCTGCATGTAGCGGTGATGGCTCAGCAAGTTTCATTTCCTTTATCCTTTGCAGGATTCAGTATCATTTTGGAGAATTTGGCAATTATTCCCTTGTGGTAAAGACCCTAAGTACAAGCACCAAAACTGTTTCTTGTGACCTAGTCATCAATGAAGGCCCTATCAACAGCTACCTCCGTATGTAATGTTCTGTTTTCCCCTTCCATTCTACAATTTGCATGTCTCCCAGCAAAACCAACTTCCTAAAAAGCCTATGCGGCCACTCATGCTGTGCTGAAGATGTGTCATGGGCTTGCTCCTCCTCTCGCAGCATCTTACCTCCTTATGTTTTATACGCCCATCTTGAGGCCCTGACCAGGATCAGGCCTCTTCACATGATATGCTGTATGACCACAATGTTTTTGCAGCAGGGATTAGCCCAGAAAAATCGGTGGGTGCGTGTCCGGAGGGAGATATTTTCATAGTTACTTCCTGTTTCCCTGCATGTTTATGTATGTACACAGAATCCTCCCTCTTCTTCCCTCTGTCTTACTTCTCTCACAAAATGGGAAACAATTCATACAGTGTTTGCATTTTTGTTGTGCTTTTAATTTTAACCCTCGTGTCTTGCTTTTTTGTTTATCTCTTTTCCAGTGCTGTTTCAAACTCTGATCTACGTCTCTCCTGTTCTTTTCCTTTACATTAGGTTATTCTTAAGTCCTTCCAGTTTTCCAGCTATAAAGAAAAAAATCTCTATGCATGCAAACTCTATTACCCTCTCCCCTGTCTTCTTCATGTTGAGGCTGTTTCTAAATCTTTAGTTTCTTCCTCAGAATGTATGGCACACTGACTCTCTTCTCACCATTGCCTTGTGATGCAGTGCAGTTTTATTTTGCCTCTTTTATGCTGAGATGTGCAGTCACTGAGCTGCACTTTGAAACTAGCCTGCTTTTGCTTTGGATTGTTTTGTTGTTTGTTTTTTCTCTGGGACTCCGGCTGGGGATATGTATTGCATGGAGAAGGTGGTGTGGTGAATGGTGGGTTGGGCTTTTTGTCATGTTTGTGTCATGCTTGGGCAAGCCCAAGCTGCTGAATGGTTTTGTTAGATCATTTATAGAGTTGCATTCTTCTCTCTTTCATGTAGCTATTCTCTTTGCTTTCCTGGTTTACATGGGGATCCTTGCTATCCTGATTGTTGGGCACCTTTTTATGAAGTAAGTGAACTGTATTGTAATGCCTCCTCACATGTGAAGTGGGGCCGCGTTTAAAAACATGTGTCGTAGTGTGGTAGTGCTTCAGAGTCCCACTGTAGCCCTGCTTGTAAATCAGATCCTGTTATCAGGTTGCCGTGTACAAGTTAAGCTGTGGTAGCTGTCCATAAGATAATAAATACAGAGTGAGTCAACTTCCCTTGAGGGATATCTTGCAGCCTTGTTAGCTTGTGTGTGGAGTGGTTACTGCAAAGCAGCTGATGTTCGCTGTAAGCTTGCACACACGCTGCCTCACCCTCGCATGACTTGTTCCTGGGTCTAGCACCAAATCAGCACCTAAGTGTGTGTAGCATATGCAGCCTTCCATCCTGTGTGCTGAATGACATGAGTCATCCCTGCCTTAAACAACCCGAGAATAAAGCCCCTGAAGCTGAGCTTGTGGCAGTGTAATTACATAGCTGGACTTAACTGGGGTTCCAGGTACTGGCTGAATCTCACTATTATGCGTGTGAGCTGGGAAAACAGAAATAGAGACTGTCCCAACTTTTGATTTATGCTGCTAAATAGTGGGTATTAAGATGAAACTGGCCATAAAGGACTTCCTGTTTTGTTTTGTGTTTTAAACTCTTACTAATTTTCAGAATTGATCCAGTCAGAAACTGGGTTTACAAGAAACTGAACCCCAGAGAAACTGATCGTCTGATTAATTCTGTGAGTGACCAAGTATCTTTAATTTGCATTTTTGTAGTGTTTTTATCTCTGAGGAGCATGCACTATCTGGACATCTGGGGACTTGTTTATTACTAATCATCTTCCGCTTGTACATGTTCCCCGTGGCAAATCTTGTATTGATGTCAGGCAGTTTTATGTCAACGGGGAGTGCTAGACTAGGTTCTGATGCAAGTTTAGTGGATTCCCAGTAGAGCTCTTGCAAGTCCCAACCATACAGCTTTGAGCCCTCTTTAGTTCCCTTGAAGCAAATGTGTTGGTGAAAATACTGTCCCCTTCTGACATAGACAATGTAAGGGAAGGAAAGAAATGCCAGCTTTCATGTTGTTTTCAGCTTGTTGAGGCCCCATCCCTGGAGGTGTTCAAGGCCAGGCTGGACGTGGCCTTGGGCAACCTGGTCTAGTCGGAGGTGTCCCTGCCCATGGCAGGAAGGTTTCCAACCTAAACCATTCCATGATTCTATGTCTGCTTCCAGCTCAGTAGGAATTTTAGCAGGACCTACTCTTAAATCAAGATTTTTCTGGCAGCCCTAGAGCTGGCATTTCTGTGTGAGCCATGTTTTGTACTAGAATGCAGATAGATCATCACCATCTGGGCTTCACATCTAGGAGGTCCAAACCTGTCTAGAACAAGACTTGGGAGGAGACTTCTGCAACAATTCTTGCAGTTGTTCATCTCCATAGCTGTGTTACAGCAATGTCTGCTTCTTTATGCTGTCACTGGGGCTGATCAGAGTGATTTAGGGAACTTGACTGGAAAGAAGCCTTTCCTGCATTTAAAAGGATTCATTATCTGCTGGTTTAGCTCTCTAAACAGTCTCTATGTGGTGTCAGACAAGTGCTGATGGGATGGGATGGACTCTGAGAGTCAGCAACTGGATTTGCTCAGCTCTGTTGGAAAGCAGTACTCACAGTGACAGCAAGGCTGTGGCTGATTTGGACTGGACCCAACTCTCATGAGCCTCAAACACAGCCTCTTTTCACTGCATTGTTGTTTTCACCCTGGTCAAAGGTGTACTGTGGAGCATCTGCAAATATTACTGCAATATGGTGGAGCCATGAATGGGTTAGAAGTAGCAAGTGGGGAAACAAAAGGAAGAGGAAAGTGGGGAGAACAAAGACACACACACAGTATGTGAAAGTTTGCAGTTTGCTGATCTCTGTTCCCTAGGCAGCTGAGGCAGCTGCTGACTTGCCCTTCATCTGTCTGTTTTTTTTCCTGAAGGAGCTTGGGTCCCCGAACACAACAGACTCCGTTAGCAGTGATCCTACCCGGCGTTTGTCGAGCACAACCTCTCGGCAGCGGCTGCGTTCCCTGGACACCTTCCGAGGGTGAGTGTAAGACCATGCTCAAAAGCAGCTCTTCCAAGGGGAATGAGATTTTTCCAATAGCGGTTTGACAAGTGTATGGAAATATATAGCAGATGGACAGTTCAAGGGGGTCTGTTTAACTTGGAAGATAATCAAGGTTTTAATTCTTGTATTTTCTGAAACACTTTGCAGTTGATCTAGTTTGAGGAAACATTAAAGTTGTGGCAGAGGGTGGAAAAGAACAACATATGTTCAGTGCGAAAACGCTGTGTGAAGGAGCTTACTTTGGTTCACCGCCACACATGATCTTTGGAACGCTGCTTCCTGGTTGGCAAAGCTGGAAATTTCGTACATAACCTTGTTTTAAAAATAAAATAAACCATATCTCACAGTTAAAAATGTTTTAATGGGGGTAAATATTAACTGTTATGTTCATATGTATATATTTCATCGACATGTGATCCTTTGTGTGTGTTTTTGTTGTTGTCTTTTTAGGCTCTCTCTTATAATTATGGTGTTTGTTAACTATGGAGGAGGAAAATACTGGTTCTTCAAACATGAGAGTTGGAATGGTAAAGTACAATTGAGACAGTTAATGTGGGCTTTAACTGCAGCAGTATCTAGATATGGTTAGCACTGCAGCTGCTGCAGTGAGCTGTTGCTCAGCTGAAGGCTGGGACGCTGTGCCAGTTGCCTCAGCAGAGTATTTGGCCTGTTAGGTTCATGAGCAAAGCAGTGTATAGTCCTGCTCATCATACAGCGACGGGATGGTTTCAGATCACAAGCTGTGTGTAACCTTTTCATTTTTGACCCAGGTTCATGTATTTGACTTTTCTGTGTTGTTTAATGACCACAGTCAAGCTGATGGTGCTTGATGCTGTACAAACATGCCTTGATTGGCAAGCTGATGGGGGAGGGGTTGGGCATCGTGCTGCCCTAGAGGAGAATAGCAACGATCCTATCCCTGAATTCTTTCCCAAGACACAGCAATCAGTTCTGACCCTATTTTTGAAGAATGGTAAAAGCAGTGAAGCAAGATGCTTAGCTCTTTGTAAGTTTTGTTTATAATGTGTTTTAGATTTTGGGGCATCAAATAATTGCAAGCAGCCTGCAATTTTTCTGGAAACTCAACAATAATGTTGTTAAAATTTAAGGAGGATTTGAGGTAAATAATGTATTCCTTCCTGTGTCTCTGTAGGATTAACAGTTGCAGATCTGGTGTTTCCATGGTAAGTCTTCCTGAAGAATAGTTCTTGTGTCAAGTGATTCTGTGTGTTTAGTGTTGTGAAGAGAACATTGTGTGCACCTTGCCTCCATGTGGAAATGTATTTGGAGGGGTGAATTTGTGTTAAATGATTGATAGGAATCTGCCCCTCCAGATAGCAGCATCATCCTTACAAACTAGTAGAGGAGCTAAGTGCTTTTGGCTGCTCCCCATCCTCCTTCTTCCCCCTGGACAATGTCAGTGGGAGGCCCAGGGTTATCCTGCCAGTGGAAGTGCAGTATCCCTGAGGAGCTCATTGCTGCATTACTGCGCTGAAAGTGGTCAACCTGGCAAGATTCAAAGCTGGACTGATGTATATCCAGAGATAAAATAGCCAAGGGAATTTTGGATTAAGCTAATCTCTCTATAACCAGAGAATGGTCTTATGGGGAAGCAATTACCCCATCTGCCCCTAGCATGCTTCTCTAAAATACACACCGGTTGTGGTTACTCTTGGAGATGAGAGCTGGGCTTGGACTGCGAACCTAATCTAGAGGGGAGGAGTGGGTCAGTTCTGAATTTGAATCGTAGATTTGCAGCTTGTGTTTTACTGCTCTGAAGATGCTAATTTACTTGTGGGTAGTGGATTTTTTTTGGTGGCATATGTATTGCTGCAAGAAGACCAGAATGCAATTACTTCCCTGAACTTTATTGCCTCAACTGACCACTGAAAGAGGTGGAAAGGTCCCATAGTGCCAACTCAGTTGTCTGCCAATTCCTAGCAATCAGAGGAAATAAAGTTGTCCAGTTTCACTCAATGCATGCATTTCTGTCGGGCCAATGCAGGCTACTGTGTTAGCTTTAGTGTTTGCTGTCATGCACATGTGCGATGAGACATCTGTCAGCCTTGTTTCCCATCTGCTCTCTTCTCCAGGTTCGTGTTCATCATGGGGACATCGATATCATTGTCGCTGAGCTCCATGCTGAAGTGGGGAATTTCCAAGCGGAAGGTGCTCAGGAAAATCCTCTGGAGGAGTTTTCTGCTTATTCTGCTGGGAATCATAGTTGTGAATCCCAATTACTGCCTTGGACCATGTGAGTGGAACTTGCTCTCTTCCTTGTATTTCTGCAACTGTTGTTCCTGCCTCCTTGGCTGGGCTGTTGAGAAAGCAGTGTTAGCCTTGCTCTGCTGACCAGTTGCATGGGGGCAGGTTGATGGTATGGTGTACTGCACTGACGCGATTCTCTCTGTCCCCTGTGCCGACCACTGTTTATCATCCTGCTGGCGACTTTCCCAGGGCTATGATTTACAGAAAGTGGGGTGGCAGAGTGGAGGTGTCCCTTGTACCTGCATGGTGCAGTGAGTCTCAGCTCTCCCTGGGGAAGGGTAGCTTTCATATTTACAGAAGAGCCCATGTCTTCTCTTCCACATTGCTTGCATGTTTTCCAGTGTCCTGGGATAATCTTCGTATTCCTGGGGTGCTCCAGAGGCTGGGATTCACGTACCTGGTGGTTGCTGCTCTCGAACTCCTGTTTACAAGAGCTGAGGCTGAGAGCGGGACCTTGGTGAGTTACATGGGGAGATGACATGTGATACTAGAGTAGGGCTTGGGAGCTTTTGCTCTTGTTTGGGCACAAAGAACGCATGAGAAATGATGACAAAACATGTAGCGTCTTCCTAATGTGTAGTGCAGTGTGACCTGGCAAAAATTTCAGGGAACATGCACCCTTCAGTGTCCCAGTCTGCAATTTATCACATCTAGCTTTGCTGTATTTGAGGATTTCACCAATCCATTCAGATGGTCCTTAGAAGCAGGCGTTCCCAGGCACTTTTGATGACTTTCCACCACCAAGGCACCCCAGGGACAGGCATCTCTGTGCTGAGTCCTGTGGCCTGTGTTTTGTCCAGTTAATTTTGGCAGTGTTTTTTCTCAGCAGGGGAAAGTAATACTGCCTTTTGGCCTTTCTGGAGTCTGTTTTCCCAAAAGGCTTTTGTTCTGCTCATGAATCAAAATCCCTTTTGACATTTCCAAGCTAAAAAACATTGTGGGCTTTTGTTTTGGTTTGTTTCTCCCTCTCCCCCAAGTAACTAAGTGTCGGGAAATAGTTTGTGAACATGAAAGGTCTATTGGTGGAACCCATTTTTTAATGACAACAGCTCCCTCTTGTATCTGGGGGACGGCCTGCCAGGAAATACAGGATGTCCCCAAGGGCATGGTTTTTACTTGCCAGCTAATATCCCCCTCCCTCCATTTCATGCAGGAGACGCCATGTCCTGCTCTGCAGGATATTCTCCCCTACTGGCCACAGTGGATTTTCATTCTGATGTTAGAAGTGATTTGGCTCTGCCTGACCTTTTTGTTACCAGTGCCAGGTTGTCCCAGGTAAGACAGTGCACTCAGACTACCTTCTATGGGGCATCAGGTTGTTTTCCTTCTA